GCCACCCCTCGCCACCCCTAAATCACATCTCAGTCACTACTCCCATACCACCCCAACCTTCGCCTCTTCCCATCCATCCCCCCCCATTGACGACACTTCTTGGGACTGCGGCTTCGAGCCGAACCTAGCCGCATTCTATACGCCCGCAAGCGCTAATGAATTTTTTAGGGTTTAGGGTTTTAGGGTTTTAGGGTTTACTTCTCCGAGACCTCTATGGCCTCTATGGCCTTAAGCAAGCCGCCTGCCTTTGGTATGAAGACATTGGCCACACCCTCCGTCATCTCGGTTTTGTCTGGAGCGAGCAGGACGAGAACATCTGGTTGCACCAAATTCGGGACATCATCCTAGTCATATATGTCGACGAAGTTTTATCTACAGTCGTCCGACACTCCGGCAACATTTGGTTATTCGACCAACTCCCCCTCACCTACAGTATGATAAACCTCGGACTAGCGCGCCACCTTGTCGGTTCTTGAACCATCCAACAGCCTTCGGGTACCACCGCTATCATGCAAGACGCCTACATCGAATGCATGGGTCAGGCATTCAACGTCCTCGACACCCCACCCAAACACACCCTCAGCACTCGCGCCCACCCTGGCACCCTCACGATACAAATCTTCCACAGGAAATAAAGAAAGCTTCTCGGCGCCCTCGGGTTTGCCGCTAACATGACCCGCCCGGACATCGCATGTGCCCCAAATCAGCTCGCAGCATTTAGCGTCGCACCCGTAGTCTCGCACTACGAAGCCCTTACTCATATCATCCATCATCTCAACTACACGTGACCTCGCTATTTAGTACACAGTTTCCCCCGATGCCCGCGATATCAGCCCTCATCTCTCTGCCTACACCGACTCTGACTGGAGCTCCTGCCCCTGACACGAATTTCTCACACAGACACGACTACCTGTATCAAAGATTCTCTTATCCATTGTCGGAATCAAAAATAAAAGCCTGTCAAACGATTGGCTAGGCTCTGCCATGGTCTTAGCACACATAGCCCCTGTCATGCACTACATCCTGGACAAAGCACGTAACAATGAATATCGGATACATTAAAAGAATATCAAAACACACCTTGCTACGATTGCACGCCAAGAACTGCAACCGATGGGTGCCATTGCATCCTCAACTTTCGGTAGCTGGCTCTTTTTTAGCTCTCCTCTGGCCGATGAAGGTGACGACGAACACCTCGATGAGCTAGTAGCGATATTCCAAACCAGCATTCCTGTGATGCGGTTCCTCTACGGTTGCCCCACCGCGTTCAACAAATAGAACGTTCTTTTTGTA